AAAACATTTAATTGAGTTTAATATTCAGCATACTGGATAGCATCTTGTGAAGTCTGTGTGATTTTTCCACAAGGCTACAGAATGGGGATGAAGAGGCCAGAGGGAAAGTGTTCTTTAAATTTAACTTTCAAGAATGAAATTTATTGTCTGCCACACAAAAGTGCTTAATATTGCCAGGGTGATGAATTTGATAATGACAGAGAAATGCCACAAATCTGACAAGCTAAACAAAATTTTTAACCTGACATTGCCCTATTCAAGACATCAGCTGTCATCTGAAATGAATTCTGTTTCTAATTTGTCTTCATAAATAATGCAACTAATTGAAAGGTAGTTCAATGAAAGTCTTTAACCTCTTTCATCTCCAATTTGAGGGCAATCTCTTTGCATTTCCTCGAAAGAATCTTCTACTTCTCTTATCAAATAAAACTAAGACATCACTGATCAAAACATTGAGATCAAAAACAAAAGAATCCATTATGTAATGACTACCACATATAATAGTCTTATCAATTTTATTTTTTAAATTTAGCACTAACTTAAAATATGAAACTCATAAAAATCTGATATAGGAAAATTTATTCAAGTTCAGAGAATTACTAGTGATAGCTTTATTTTAATCAAGTGTCTCAGCGGTACATTTAGTCTGTTATTGTCACTGATTTCTGCTTATTTGTAATTGCAGTATAACATGGACTTCTCTATGCCACACACAGAAAAATCATTAGATTATAGTTTATGGGTAACTTTTCTTGTTTTAGTGATGAAATAAAAAAGGAACAGTTGAGACCCTGACCATGCAACTATTTCCAAGCAACTGGAAATAAAGAATTCTTGTATTACAGATTGAAATAATTAAAATCTCCTTTATCTGAGTTTTCTCTATGCATACATCAGTGATTCCATTTTTTTTCTTGTAAATGCAGATGTTAATAAAACTACATGCTGAAGGCATGGAAAAGAGGAAAGAGAGCTGTGCAAGCATTAAATTTTTCAATCATTTAATTATTTCACCACTCTGAGAAGGCTAATTTCAGCAAATATATCAGAGAAGGACATGATTATGAATGGAGATTTGGACTGATCATCTTTTACTGATCATCTTTTACAAGGTTATTATTAACAATGGAAATTTAAGAACTTTTTTTGGTATATCAAATTATACCCCAACTTTAGAGGTTATTTAAAATGTAAATGACATAGCTAAAAACTAACAATTTAGGTAGTATAAGTAATTTTAGTATCTCCTTGCTGGCAGTTAAAAAATATCCATGGTTAATAGATAAATTTGGTCTATATTATCTCCATATTTAGTGATGTCTATTAATATTTGTCTCCCAACAATGAGAAAATCATTAAAAACTATCAAGAGATAGTTTATTTTTAATAGATAGACTGTTGGTAAGGTTTCAAAAGCTAGAAATATTGGAACAAGTCTGAGATTTTCTCTGAGGAACAAATCCATCTGGGTGAAGTCCTTATGTCTTGTAATATTCTGTTTTAAAATACTTAAGTAAGCCTTACAGTGTGCAATATTGGAAGTATTTTACAGGTTTTTACTTTTATGTAAAAGTAGAAAAGAAAAGTGGAGACAGACTAGAGAAGAAGCAAATAAAGGAGAATAGAAAAGAAAAGGAGACGAAGATCCACGTTAGAACCCTGGTAACCAGAATAACGGTAAAGAGAATCAGCAGTTCTAAGTAAAAATTGTGCTCTCATGAAGTTAAGGGGAAGATTTAGAAAAACGATAATGTTTAACAGTGTTATAAAGCTATCAATAAGAGGATGTGAAAGACTCAACTCGGTGTTGCTGATTAGGTTATCAGTGCCTTCCTTTGGTCATAAGTTCAATTGCACACACACACACAATGTCACACAAACACACACATGCATATATGATGTGTGCCATTAAAGCAATAGAAATAATGTGGTATTTCAAAGAGAGAGAGAGAGAGAGAGAGAGAGAGAGAGACAGAGAGAGAGAGAGAGAGAGAGAGAGAGAATGGCTTTGGTTGAGTAACCAGATAAAACTTACTTAACAGGGCAGAAGGCACTTGACATAGAAAATGATAAAAAGGGTTTTGATAGACAGAAACTAGGGGGTTGGATATATATTCCAGTTTAAGAGTAAAGTAAGACACAAAAGTAGTAAAGAATGTAGCTCACTTAGAGAATTGAAAGTATCTATGTTTTCAAATGCATGTCATAGAACTGTAGGAGAGAAATGGTTAAGTATGTACTTATAATTTGATGATATACAATTAATTTCTATAATTATTGTGAAAATATACCATTTTAATCCTTAGCTCTGTTTACTAAAATTAAATATAAGAATTCCATTTAGCAGTGCTCTTTATGATGTTCATTAGTCCATTTAAAAAAATTTATTAGAAATTATTTGAAGACATTGAATTAGAAGTGAGACTTGGTAGATTTTCCTAAAAACTATCCTTCTTACAGGGCCAATTCCTTAATCTCTTTGGCTCTGGGACTTCTCTTAAAGTTGAGAAATTGGACTATATCATTCTCTGAATTTCTTTTAGATATGATTCTATGATATAGAAAGAGTATTTTCATAGAGTATTGCAGCATTTTTCTTTCAATAAAATATTTAAACTACCCATTTGTTTTGATTATACTAGATCATAAAATTCTCACATTCTTGTTTTATGCTTGGACTTCCTAAATCCTAAATTTTTCAAACATATTTTGATTAAAATTAGAGCTGTGTGAAGTAGAGGTTCAGTGAGTAGATGATTTATAATGAATTAGTTACTTTGGAAATTCTACACAATTATAACACTTTAGAGTTGAAGTAATTTTGAGACCACACTGTCTAAATTCTCCAATTTACACATAAGGAAACCAGGGTGTGGAGAGATTTGATGACTTGCTGTAGGGCATATGGCAATTTGGATTCCCCTGTGCCATTGTCTTTAATCCACAGAGATGAGCTGTAATCAGAAATTTATGAGCTGTCAACAGAGATTCCTGAGAGTGTATTTGAACCCCAAACTTCAGTATATGCATGTGAGAAAGCCACCAAAATTTCCTTGAAGGTCAAGTTCTGGACTTAGTCCAATATTTTCTGCATAATGGTAGCCAAGGGTTTAAAGACTTTGAAATGAGTGCAGTTATGAAGTTCATATTTCTCATTAGTTTAATTCATTCATATATATAAATATATGTTTAATTTATACATTGCATTGAAATCCTGTATAAAACGTCAGTATATGGAGTTACAAATAATGATTATCATAGTGTCCATGTCCATGTACAAAAAGTTAGCTTTTAAGAAATAGAAATTTTAAAAAGATAAAGCATAATTTTCTTATCCAGCTCCATTTTTGACCTAATGTCATTAAAACAAAAATTGGAAAATTCAAGAGCAGTGATGGTAAAGAATGAACAAGGGAAGAGTTTAATGATTTTAATAAGAAATAGCTTGCTAATGTCATGGTTTAAAAACAAATTATAATTGTAAACAGAATTTAGTTGGTTACTAGAGTGTTTATTTGCCTTATCACAAAGACCAAATATTGCCTCATACAAATCACTATTTTGCAAAATATTTTATATCAGATACAAAATTTCACCAGCTTAGCCTTTACTGATAAATTCTTCATCTACATCAATAATCCTGCTGCTTCTAAGTATTTTGTGATTCAGAGAAGTTATAGTGGCAGTGCAAGAATGTAGTAGGAGATCCTTAAAAGGTTGGGTTTGGGGGTAGGAAAGGGAATCTTGTTGCTGAGACAATACATCTTGCAAAAAAGAGGAATGTTGCCATTAAATAAAAATGCATGCACTGCTGTTCTACAACTTGTGCTTGTTAGGTACAATGGTTAAGTTATTGAGTTCCCTAGATCTTAGGGTCTGACTTCTAACGGTACCCTAACTTGACTTTGGAAAAAACTCTTTTTTATGTTACTATCATAGTTTTATAATCCAATTTTTAATATCAAATCAGACACCTTTACCTATTTGCATTGTCCTTCACTCATTTCCTGTAACACATGCTAAGATAAAGAAGAGAGTGTATGTCATGGAACTAGGTGAAACTCGCTGATTTCAATTCCAAGTTTCATGCTTATAGAATAATTTGTAAGATACTAATAATTTTGTGTAGATTGACTAGTTAATAACCTACAAAGGAAAGCAGTAATAAAATTATGCTATACTAGATGCTATGTTTTTAGTATCATTACTTTGAGAATGGACCTGACTATAAAACTACAATGCAAGTTTGTGCCATCTGAGAATCACGACTCAATAAATTTACATAAATCACTTCAGTAAAAGCAGCAAAGAGCATTCATAAATCATAAAAGGAAGGTTATTTTTAAAGTTTATTCTTTTATTCTGTTCATAAAAGAACATGCTCATTTTAGAAAAATTATAAAATTCAGAAATATATAAAGAAGATGAAAAATAATAATCTGATCCCTCAAAATTTGTATCTAAGAACATTTTGGTGCAAATAAATATGTAAGCTAGACTTCACGTGTGCAGTTTTAAATGTGTTGGAGCAACTCTAAGCTCTTTGTCACATAATCTGTTATAATTTTGCTTAGAATTCCATTTTGATTATGAATCTAGTTCTGATCTGGTTCTAGGTCTTATCTAAAATGAGAACATTGTAACTAGTAATTATTATGACCCAACATCATTAGCAAATCATGGCTCTGTGTTGCACTTGTATAAAAGTAATAACTAACAAATTTATATGTCACTAAATGTGACAGAAATTATGTGGACAAACACATTTGGGGATTGGGGCTTTGTTTGAGAATGCTAATTTCAGTATTTCCTTCTCATTTCTCTTTATTTTAGTCTTTTAATAATGAAATATAATTTTATTTTACAAGATGGAATTGTATTTGAAAACTGTCAGCTTCTATAGATATTTTTACAATAGAAAAACCTTTCCTTTCTGCCCCTACATGGACAGGTCGATTTTCATTGAAAATGGCTTCAAGCTGGTTCTAATATTTACTCACTTATGCAGGTGCGTTCGTCAGCATGGAGTCTGTATCCTGTATCACATTCACAGTGGAAAGTGCCCAGAGTGTTAATACAGCGCTGCTGGCAGCCTCCATTCACCACCGTACATTCATCGACATCTAGAGGAGGAAGACAGATGGTCAGGATTACAATGTCATTCCAATGTCAGCTTCAGAGAAGTGGCACAATATTTCTTTGATACACAGTATGTGCTATATTGTACAAAGGCACAATCTCTGTTGCCACAAATCTTTGCTTGTTTAATCCATTTTGCTCCACTATGTAAACAAGGAAATGTAGATAGAAATTTTATTGAGCTTTTAAAAGCCCAGCAACTATGAGCATTGGGACTATCTCAGTTTTTTGTTCTTCACATACTGGCTAATTAAACAGGTTCAAGATATAGATATTTCCTTGGGGAAGGAAAACTGGAGGGGAGAATTACAATAAGCTACTCTATCTGGAGCAGCACAAGCTAGTAGATAAACATCTATTATTGGTTTGACATTGCAGAATAAAACCAGTAATAGACTTAAGACCTTGAGTCTCCTTCTCACATACAGTGATATACATCTGGGTAAAGTTGGATAAATTGAAACAAAACAATTGTTTGGTGTTCTGAAAAATTCATCAATACATTTACTCCATGGATTCAGCTTCTTTCTTGTCACTAAAGGTGCCAGGGGATGGGGATTTAGCTCAGTGGTTTCACTGCCTGCTGCACAAGTGCAAGGACCCAAGTTCAATCCCCGGTACCAAAATAAATAAATAAATAAATAAATAAATAAATAAATAAATAAA